GATACATGGGAACACTACCCCCTGCAAGTTCCCCTCCGAGCCACTCCCCATCCCAACTCAGAAGTATATCGGCCGTTCCTTCAGTGTGGCTGGGTCAGAATCCTGGAATTCCCTCCCTAAGGGGCATTGTGGGTCTACCCACAGCACACAGACTGCAGTGGTTCAAGGAGGCAGCTCCCCAACACCTTCTCAAGGGGACAGTTAGGGACAGGCAGCAAATACAGGGCCGTATGAAAAGAATGCAAAAAAAAAAAAATTGGCGAGTGAGAGAGAGATGAAGGGTTTGGAACGAAGCAGCAGGAAGGACTCATTACCAGAGGCTGCAAGGAGGCTCATACAGATTGATGTGTGCCATTCACTGCTGTTGCTGTAGGACTGGTTTGGGGCTGCAAGGGAATAAGACGGTGATGGAAAAACCGATCAGGAATGGGAGTTGGGGGGGAAGAATGCTAGCAACCCAAGGCAAGAGGTGCTCACGTCCTGAATTTGTGTATCCTTCCGCAGGCACAGCCGCTGTTTGAGCTGCGTTGCTCCAACAATGTGGTGCATGTCCACACTTGCGCTGACTCGTGTGCCACCCTGGTGAACCTGGTACAGTACGTGGTGAACAGCGGAGACCTCCACCCTCCGCCCAAGCAAGACAGCCCGACTGAGATCGCTGGGCAAAAACTGCAGGTACAAGACCAAGACCGCGTTATCCTCCACCTCGGCCTGTGTTTGCTGCTCCTGTCTCAGGATACTCCCAGCAAACTTTGGTCATCTCTAGCCCTCTCGCTTTGTCATTACAAGGCCTCAAAATTCGAGGGTTCAAGGACCCCTCCTCCAACTTGAGCCTCACAGAGAAAGTAGACAGGCCCAGTGACGGAGTGCTGTACCAGATTACAAGCTACATTGAGCCAAGCCTAGCTTTGCTGACGGTTGTGGCTGAGGGAGACGCGGACTTGACCTACACTGTGAGCAATCACTAATATCTATCCACAACGTCCTTCAAATCACACACTCTTACATTTGCAGTGGATGATAAACTTTACCTAATCTGAGGTTTAGACCAAGATTAGAAAGTCCTCTATTTGTACAGCTTCTTTTTATGACCTTAGGATATTTCTGATGTTTTCTCAGGTAGGGACAGACCCTTGCGGTTCAGCCATCCTTTCAATACAGGAATGGCAGCCAAAGATCACTGTGTGGGATCTCACAAATCGCTGCTTGTTTAATGTCCACATCATCTGCATCAGTGACAGAACGTGAAATAGTCACACAGACGAGAACTCACCCACCACCCGCAGTCGCCTTTAAAAAGGTCACAGGAATGGCCTGGAAGAGGGCGATACAATAGGCTGAAAGCAGAATTGACCTCAGGACCCTCAGAGTCGGTGGAGGCAGCTATGTCAGTAGGGGCGTCCCGTGGTCTCAGGCCTCAGGAGAGCACTACGGTCTGTCGTTTCAGCCCCATCACCCTGTCAGGGAATGTTTCCAATCCATTTGGGAGCCAACTGGGGGTGGAGCCTCTGTTTTAACTAAATCCTCATTGGAAATACATCTGAGGTCAGTGCCGAGGGAGCGCCGCACTGTCGGAGGGTCAGTGCTGAGGGAGCGCCGCACTGTCGGAGGGTCAGTGCCGAGGGAGCGCCGCACTGTCGGAGGGTCAGTGCCGAGGGAGCGCCGCACTGTCGGAGGGCCAGTGCCGAGGGAGCGCCGCACTGTGGGTGTGTTGGTAGTGAGGGAGTGCCGCACTGTCGGAGGGTCAGTGCTGAGGGAGCGCCACGCTGTGGGTGTGTGTCGGTAGTGAGGGAGCACCGCACTGTGGGTGTGTCGGTAGTGAGGGAGCACCGCACTGTGTGTGTGTCGGTAGTGAAGGAGCACTGCACTGTGGGTGTGTCGGTAGTGAGGGAGCACTGCACTGTGTGTGTGTCGGTAGTG